CGTGCTCCCCTGGGTGGCGACACCCCTGCAAGACCCCCCAACACACCAGGGGCAGCGAGGAGTCTGCACTCAGGGGAGAGCAGGCAGGGCAAAAAAACATGGCCACCCTCCCGCCAAGCCTTGTGGGAAGGAAAAGGAGGCATGGGGGGATCTGGAAAGGTGACCCTTCCCCCATAGAGTGATTGCCCCAAGGGCAAAGCATCATGGGAACAGGAGGAACCAATATGGCATCCACGGGAGTGCAAAGCATGATGGGAAATGGATCAGGAGCCTTGAAAACAATCCCAAACTCCCACCGTCAGGTGCTGCCTGGGAGCACAAAGCATTGTGGGAAATTGGGGGGGTCAGGTATAAATACAGCCACTGCCCAACCAAGTACAAAGCATCATGGGAAACCAAGGGAGCTGGAATAAACCACAGCAGCATTGTGGGAAACAAGGGGAGGCAGAAGTGACATCCCCCACCTCATCAAGGCGCAGGGACCGCTGCAAACCACTGCGGGAAGTGGACCTGTGGGATAAATATCGTCCCTAGTCAGTTAATCCTGCCCCCTCCTCCCCCCTCCCCAGAGGGCACAAAGCATCATGGCAGGGGGGGACGGGGCTACAAGTTTGGCAGAACTTCTGCGCCCCCGCTGCAAAGCATTGTGGGAAACATCACGCCAGCGCCACAAGCACACAACACTGCGATTGGTGGGTTTCTAGCCAATCAAGGGGAGCCCACCCCAGGGAGGGGGGGCTGGTCCCATCAGGACTGGGGGGCGTTGTCTCTGCCAGCCTCCCCCTCCCCCACTGCTACTTCTTCTTGGCCCGCTCGGCCATGTCCAGGGCTGCCATGTTGCATGAGGCAGAGACGAGGTGCACGAGGCTGATGAGGGACTTGAGGGCAGCGATGGGAGTCGAGACCCAGAAGATGAGACGGAAAAGACCCAGGCGTCCGGGGAGCACTGAGGAGGGAGGGGAGAGAGTTACACACACACACACACAGAGCTCTGCCGGAGCCCCTCACTCCCGACCCGCAGCCCCTGCTAGCCCAGCCCTG